AAAATTAAAAATAAAAAACTCGTATGTATTGTGTTCAGCCAGGCACTGCGGCATAAAGCACAGGAGGATGGCTGCCAGCTCGGGCTCCACAACGAGACATGGTCTCAAAATCAAACAAGTGGGAGCTGGAGAGATGACTCCTCAGTTAAGACTGTGGGCTGCTCTGGCAGAGGACCCAAGTGGCTCACAACCTCCTTTAACTCCAGCTCCACAGGATCTGACACCCTCTTCTGGCTTCCAATGGCACCCACACACATATTTCACACACATATTTCACACACACACACACACACACACACACACACACACACACACACACACACACACACTTCCCAGAACAACTGAGTACGGGAAGACCAGCTGTTCTCTTACTCACTGGGCAATAGCAAAGACACCTACCTAAACCTAAGTACGCACTAACAACAGTGGAAAATCCAGCAGCCTACATGGTCTTTCCTTGAGGAAGACAAAATTCAGAGATATTCCTCCCACTGCAGGCCCCACACTGCCTTCAATCTCCCCATGAGCTCTTTATTGGGTGTTTTAAACTAGACGTGGAGTGCTCCCTACATTAAAAGTACTTGGAAATATTTTCTACAGTACTCAAGCCATGCTTCAGAAAAGAAGCTGATTCAGTAGTTAAGGGAGAAGGTGGGGGGATTTACATTTTAAAAAATTCCCAAGCATTCTAGTGGAGTCAGACTTCAGAACCATCGGACTTTAGGGTATTCATTTATTACTTTGTTTGTTTGTTCATTTGTTTGTTTATTCATTCATTTATTTATTTCTGTGCTTCCAGTATGCTAGGCTAGTGCTCTGCCACTGACCTACATGCCCAGTCTCCACCAAACCTTCCTGACGAAAGGAAGAGCTCGCGTGGCTGCTGAGAGGAAGGGCAAAGAAGGCTGCAGAAGGCATGTTTTCTAGTGCTCCTGATTGGGATACAAGCTATTCCTCTGGGGAAGCATGATTTGTCACAGTGCCTGTACCCCGTAGAGTCTTCCAGTCACCAATATAAAACTGACTCAGTAAGAAAACTCACTCAAGTCCCCAACTGAATTCTAAACTGACTTACACAATGAGAGAGAAGTTTACTGTGATTTCTTATCCTCAGATTTTTGACATTTGAAAAGCTGAGACTTTTACTCCTGTGAGACGGTCTGACTCTGATTGGTGGCCTTTGCCCCTTACTAGTAACCCATTCCTCACCATTCCATTCCTTTGTCTTGAGACAAAGGTGTCACCTCTACCCCCTTTCTTTTCTTGAACTTCTTCCAAGTCCTTACGTCTTGCCCTTGTCCTTTATAGCAGTTCCTTGCAAGATACAGGGGTTATTCCTCCAAATGAAGGCTCTCCATCTCCTCTTCCCCCTCCTCTCCTTGTATAACCATGGTGTAAAGTTGGCACTAGGAATAACCACCCGTAACTTACAGATGGGGGAGATAGGGCTCAAAAGGTTTAAGCCATTTGCTGTGAAGCACTCCTCTCTTACCTCATCCCTTTGGTTTGGAACACAGTTCCTCCACCTTCACAGTCCTTTGTGTCTTTCCTCTGTTGCCATGGATTTGACTCTTGCTCTTGAATTCTTACCTGCATGTTGGATGGCTACCTATTAGTTAATGTCCATTTATGACTGACCCACGACCTCCATGGGTCTCAGACTACTGTATGTACCTAGATTCCCGTGTATTTATCTCATCAGATGACTCCAGGGTCCCAGGTCCCCACCCACCCTTCAATCACCAGTTTTGGTTGCTGAATGTGCCAGAAAAAATACACGTTGTTTGTTACTAAAATGGGCTGTGGAGTCTGCTGTGACTCTTCCTTTCTTTGTCTGACAGTCTTCCATAATTGGCCATCCAAGAGTGAGAAGTTAATCTCATAGGAGTCATTTTAATCTAATAATCAAAAATAGCCTTGGTAGTGGGTTAGGGAGATGGCTCAGCGATTAAGAGCACTTGTTAGAGGACCTGGATTTAAATCCAAGCATCCATATTGTGGCTCACAATAATTTGCAAATCCAGTTCCAAGGGGTCCACCTCCTCTGACTTTGGTGGGCTCCTGCATACACGTGGTACACATACGTTCACTCATGCACATGCACACACACATAATATAAAATAAGCAAAAAAAAAAAATAGTCCTGGAGAGATGGCTCAGCAGTTAGGAGCATTGGCTACTCTTCCAGAGGAACCATATTTGATTCAGAACACCCACTAGGAACTCACAAATGTCTGTAACTCCAGTTCTAGGAGATCCAAAGCCCACTTCTGGTCTCCCTGGGCATCAGGCACACACATAGCACATGGACACACACAAACATAAAACAGCCCTCAGACTGCTTTAATCCTCCCTTTCCCAATTCTGTGCAGCCACTAATCTGATTTTTGTCCTATAGATTTGCCTCCTCTGGACATTTTATGGAAGTGAAATCTTAAAATAAAACAAGTGGGCCGGGCAGTGGTGGCGCACATCTTTAATCCCAGCACTTGGGAGGGAGAGGCAGGCAGATCTTTGTGAGTTCGAGGCCAGCCTGGTCTATAGAGCAAGATCCAGGAAAGGCGCAAAGCTACACAGAGAAACCCTGTCTAGAGAAACCAAAAATAAATAAATAAATAAATAAAATGTAAATAAATAAATAAAACAAGTGGTCCTTTATGACTGGTTCCTTTTATTTAGCATTTTTGCTTTTAAGGCTATCCTATGTGTAACATGTATCTGTATTTCATTTCTTATTGCTAAATAATGTCTCACTGTTTGTAGCATTTTATCCATTAGTAGATGTTGAGGTTATATGCACTTCTTGGCGATTACATTATTCTCTAGGCATTACCTTCCCAGTTCACACATTGTCTCTTGGACACTCAATGACTTTTCTAGCTGAATGATCTTCAATTCTCTACCTTTCTCCCACAGACCTGTCCAAGACATAGTGCTGACCAAAAACAACTTGGGAGAGGAAAGGGCTTGTTTCATCTTACAACTTACCATCCTTCACCTTGGAAAACCAAAGCAGGATTTTGAGGCAGGAACCTTGAGGCAGGAACCAGAGCAGAAACCACAGAGGAACACTGCTTGTAAGAGGGTTCCCCTTTTATGCAAAGGGTGGCACTGCCTGCAGAGGGTTGGCCCTCACATACCAGTTATTTATCAAGAAAATCATCAACTGAAGGTTCTCTTCCCAGGTGATTCTAGTTTGTGTCAAGTTGACAAAAACTATCCGGCACAAGTAGCATATTCAGTTTTGTGTGAGACCATTTTCATTGTTCTTTGGTCTATATGCAGAAGTGGGATTGCCAGGTCACATGGTGGTTGTCTCAAGTAATGACATAACCACTCCAAAGTATAGCTGAGGGGGTTTTCATTGTAGATATGAAGGAGAGTTACAGCCAGAGGCATCTGGAAGAGCCTAGAGCAGGAAGAGTAAGTAGTAGACTCAACATGGCCAGTAGACCGAACCAGGCCATGAGAGGAGGGAGAGGGGGAGAGCGATAGAGGAGGACTAAGAGAGGAAGGGTAGAGAGAGGGAGAGAGGAAGAGAGGGAGAGAGGGAGGGAGGGAGAGAAGAGGGAGGGAGAGACGGAGGGAGGGAAAGGCATAAATGTCAGGGTTATATAGGAATGAGAAGCTGGGGCCAGCGAGCTTGAGAGGTTTCAGGTAGGGGCAGCATGGGGAGAAGAGCTGAGAAGAGCCATAGGTACTGAGTGAGCCTGGAGGCTAGCACGCACTTTGGTATGCTAATAAGCACCACAGATACCTAGTTGTCAGGAGTTTCTTTCGGATCTGACAGTAGCACAGTGTTTATTCCTTGAAGCAACGCTACTTTTTTTTTTTTCAAAGAAACTGAGCCATTTTACATTCCCACCTGCAGTGTATGAAGGAGTTTCAATTTTTCCACAGCCCAGTCAGCGTTTATCCTCTTTATTATAGTCACTCTATATTTTATTGTTATTATATTAACTGTCCATTGTCACCGGAGAAAGCAAAAATATTTATTTGCTGGGGATTGGAAACAAGATCGGACAAAAAGGCCTAGGTTCAAGTGTGGGTCCTTTAGTCACATAACACAAAGAGAAGATTGACATCATGATCCCAAAACCCCTCAAAAAAAGCCTGGCCGGGCGGTGGTGGCGCATGCCTTTAATCCCAGCACTCAGGAGGCAGAGCCAGGCGGATCTCTGTGAGTTCGAGGCCAGCCTGGGCTACCAAGTGAGTTCCAGGAAAGGCGCAAAGCTACACAGAGAAACCCTGTCTCGAAAAACCAAAAAAAAAAAAAAAAAAGCCTGTATGAGAGTCTCTTCTTTCCTTACCCCCCATACCCCACTACATAAGGGTGGCAGTGTGACACGGGGAAGTCTTGCTCAGCAGGGTCTACTCTTTAGTTCTCCCCCTTAGATAGTAGTTCTGACAATGACTTGGGCAATAAACCTACAGAAGCCGCTGGGCTTCCTTTACCTAGACCTCTCCTCCAGGGCTGAGAAGTGGGAGTTATGGCTTTCTGGAACAAGGACGGGGAGGATGGAGAAAACTACAACACCCAGGAGTCCACGCGGTGCTGGCAGGAGCTGGTGCTTAATTCTGGCCGATAGCACAGCGCCCTCCCCGGTGCATTATTGTTAAAACCTAGAAGCGAGTCATCTGCGCGCATGCACAGTCTCTCCTCAATTAGTTTAGCTTCTATCCTTCTTACAGGTTCCTTTCCGGCCGGGATGACGCAGGCTTTTCCCCGCCCCTTTCTCTGGAGTCTGGAGAGGATGGGGCATTGGGCAAGCGCGTCCATAGATTTTATGGGGGGCGGGGGAGGTAGGCTAGGGGACCTCGGGAACAGAGCGCATGCGTCCCAGCGGAGCTGTAAGGCTCCGAGAGTTTACGGGAGGGGGAGGGGGGGACGGGACACGGGGCGGAAATGGCTGCTGGATTGACGCACGCGCATTGGCCGCCAGGGCCCATCCTCCGGAAGTGGAGCGGCCGCTCTACGACAGGCCCCGCCCCGGCCCCGCCCCCACTCCCCGCCCCCTGCTCTCTTAGGTGGCGCCGGCTTGCGGCCGGTGTGGCGGTGGTGTTGCTTCCAGAAGCCGGAGCGGGCACGTTCCCTGAACAGGCGGCAGGGCTATGGTCGCCAGCTCCCGAAGGCCCGCTTCGCATCTCAGTCCGATCCTGAGCGCGAGCCTGAACTGTCTCCTCAGCCCAGCCCCCCGGCGCCGTCGGCTGCTCCCCGGGCGCGCCCCCCTCCGATGGCGGCGGAGATTCAGCCCCAGCCCCTCACCCGCAAGCCGATCCTTCTGCAACGGGTCGAGGGGTCGCAGGAGGTGGTGAACATGGCGGTGATCGTGCCTAAGGAGGAGGGTGTCATCAGCGTCTCGGAAGACAGGTATGGACTGCTTGCCCCTCCGCCACGCAGAGGTCTGGCTGGGCTTTGGTGGGAGTGGAGACCGCGCCTACTGGTTCGGTTCTGATCGCGTCGGCCTCGGCTGCGGGGACTGGCCCCTGGCATAGTCAAGTGGCCCTTGAGCTAACGGTGCACGGGACACCAGACCGGGGTTTCGCTTTGGAGATGGGAGGGGCAGAGGGAGGAGCCGCCCGGCCTTGCAGGTGTGTTAGCTTGGAAGAAGCCCTCTGCACCCGCATGATTTGGGGGACGCTAGTTCGTCCAGTTCTTAGCTCCCCAAACGAGAAAGGGAACATCACTGCTTTCTTCTATACAGTCCACCGATCTGTGTATCTCCAGGACATCTTTCACCGAACTCAAGGACTATTACATTGTGAAGAGAGTAACTTTGGGCTTCTGCCCTGTGGTGCCTTTCTTTCCTAAAACCTTATGTCTTGGGAGTTCAAGGGGAAGTGTCTGGAACTTGCAAGCCATCACTTTTGCAGAGAACTACTTGAGTTCCTTCCCATTCCCTGCTTCCTTTCCGTTTGCTTAGTTAGCAGAAGTACCCCTAGTCGTTCTGCCTTCAGTTTTCTCCCTTGCACTGCGTGCTTGATTTCCAGAGGAATGCCCGCTTGAATGTAGGAACTGGGGTAATAGATATGACATTACTACTTGGGTAATATCTACAAGCATTGTAATATCTACAAACAATTGTAACACGGTAGAGGCATGCGACTATCTGGGTTTTTGGCTTCAACCAAGTAGTTAGGTTTTCTTAATAGAAGTTGGTACCATGCTGAGGTAGTTTTCTTCCATAATGACTCTTAAAATTGCAAAGGTAGAGCAAAAGTGTTCACTTTTTTTTTAAATAATTGTTTCAGCACTTTCTATAATGTAAACTCAAACATTTTTACTTGATTTGCTTCTTAGGTCCTTGAATATAGCTAGGGAGAGTGTATTACATGTGTATATTACACATTTACATCTGCGTCGTGCTTGATATAAATGGCGTCTGCTTCCTTTCCTATGTAGATCCAGGGGGAAACATTGCCAACGTATGTTAAATGGCAGTCAGTCTGGGAAGAACAGAAAGAATTGAGTGAAGTGGATGTGGGAGCCTTTTGAAATTCATAAAGAAGTCTTATGACAGTGTTTAAGTTTTTCCTTTGGTGTCACTTGCCTAGACTACATCAGACTTTCTGGGCTTACAATTTTTTTTTTTTTTTTTTGTCAAAGAATTATCTTCTTGGAATATTTTCCATAAAATATATTGAAGAACTATATTGATAAATGTCCTTTTCCATTACTAGATATGAAATTGATTCCCAATTTGTAAGCAATTCATAAGTTCATTGAATCAAGTTAGAGGAGGAGAAAACTCGTCAGACCTCTGCTCCTGTAGGTTAGTTTGGAAGCACCTGGTTCCCATTCCAATGGCTTTTCCTCGAAGGAAACAATGTTAGTGGAGGTAATAGTTCAGTGTCCAGAGAAGCTAACGGTATATGTGGAAGAAAGAGAAGAGTAAGTTTCATTTCATCACAGGACGAAGGAAGTGCAGTGTTTAGTTATCTTTCGCTTTCCTAGTTTGCAGGGTATATAACAGAGTTTATCTAATTGTGGAGTTACTGTTAAATAGACCCCTACAGAAATCCGGGGTCCTTGGCTCTGTACAATTTATCATTCAAGTTGGCAAGTCTATGCTTCTTTGGGCCACTCAACCATGGATGTAACTGTTTTAGGGAGCATTTTTAGTTATGGTTTCACTAAAAGAGAATTGATCTGTTGTGTTCTTGCTTTTCAGAATCAATGTTAGTGCCTCTTGATATAATGCTAAAGATAGGAAGACAGAATATCGATTTTTCACCAGCACTTATAAAGACATTACCATTAGCTGCTTTGCCAATTCATTATTGAACCACGAGGGTCAGCTACAAATAATGTCACATAGCATTGTTCTTAGGAGATCCTCATTTTCCTTTTTCCAGTCTGACTTATTATAGCCTGTATGTGTGCCTTCGGGAACGCTTAACAGTCTTTGTTTGAAACAGTAATATATATATATATACTTCGTGTCTGTTTTGTGTTCTTTGAATTAGCTAGGGAGCTTTGTGTGTCTCATGGATTGTAGTGATCTACGTAGTGCCTGGCCCGCAGGAGTCCCTCAATATTTGTTGTATCAGTGACTGTTATAGGCCCTCCCTCCACTCTGTTTCTGGAAGCACAGGATCTTAACTACTGGATTTAGTTGATATTTGTTGAGTGAATATTTCGATGACCCACGAGAACCTTATGTAGACAAATACACATTTGTGGGGGAAGTATTGGACTAGGTGGCCTTAGACACTTTAAAACTGGGAAGTCCAAGCATTGCTTCATTCATCCTGTTAGACAGTTGAGTTACTGATGTGTTCTCATTGTGTGTGTGTGTGTGTGTGTGTGTGTGTGTGTGTGTGTGTGTGTGTGTATGTGCATGGCAGTGATGCTCACAGTTGAGGAGCAGAAACTTTAGAGTATAGGTTTTGTTTTGTGTATATGTGTGGTGCTGGATATGGAACGTTCTAGGCAAGCATCTGCCACTGAGTCACACTCCCAAGCCAAGAATATTATGTAATAAAACAAAACCACTACATTTAAGATACAGTATTGAAAAGAGAACTTTCAGACGGGGAAGAATGGCTGGGCTCCACAGCCCATCTTGCCCTCTCAATCTCTCTCCCTTCCGGAGATTGTCACACTTGAAGTACATTTTCGTTCTCAGTCTTCTCTTCTTAGGAAGCTGATGGTTCTCAAATCTTCACACTGAAGAGTAGGTCAAAGAAATCTTCGCTTTCAAGTTCACTGTGGCACAGCTGGGACACTTTGGAACTTTACATGATATCAAAGGAGGAAATGTCGGGAAAATAAGAAATAGAGGAACAACTGAGTCACCAGTCAGGCTCCCTGCACTAAGGCAGGACCTGCTCCCAGAACTCACTGGCCTTGCAGATGCCTTGGTGGTAGCTAGGTTCTGTTCACCAAGGCTACACCAAACTCCAGGATCCAGGGTCCCTCATTGTCCTGCTTCTTTTCAGGCTGCCCTTTCTGGGCTAATGGCGTTTCAGTGGTCCTTGTGTAAGAGCTTCTTCATTCAGGGGCTGGAGAGGTGGCTCAGGGGTTAAGGGCCCTTGCTGCTCTTGCAGAAGACCCTGGTTTGGTTCTCAGCACCCAAGTGGTGGCTCACTACTTCCTATAATTCCCGTTCCAGTGGAGAATTGGATGTGATGCCCTTTTCTGGTTTCCTAGGGCTCCAGCATTCATGTGGTGCACATGCATACATGCAGACAAAACACTAATACATACATACAAAATAAAAATTAAGAAAGAGGGAAGGCCGTTTGAAGGAAGAGCATCATTTCAGGCCTCTGTGCTCTGTTTTAGTAGAGCCTAAGGTGAAGAAAGCCAGGCGGGACCTCTGTCCAGGTGTGACCTAGCCCTGTTAGGATCCTTATCTTGGTCTTAGTTAGGTTTTTATTGCTGTAATAAAGACCTTAACCCAAGGTCTCAAGCAACTTGAGAAGGAGAGGGTCTATTTCAAGCATGAAGGGAAGTCAGGGCAGGAATGTGGAGGTAGCATTTGAAGGAGAGGCCATGGAGGAGTGCTGCTTACTGGCTTGCTCTCTGCAAAGCTTGCTCAGCCTGCTTTCTTATACAGGCCAGGACCTGCCCAGGGGTACCACACCTACAGTGGGCTGGGCCCTCCCACATCAACCATTATTTAGGAAAATGCCTTCCCAGACTTGCCAGTCTGGTGGAGGTGTTTTCTCAGTTGAGGTTCCCTCTTCCCAGGTGATTCTAGCGTGTGTCAAGTTGACAAACTAACCAGCCCAGCTTCCTAAGTTCGTTCTATACATACTTTAACTCAGGGCAGCTCTCTTACCATACAGAGTCTCTGTAGTTCGTAGTTTCTGGTAGTTATTGGAAGCTGACATTCTCCTCTGCTGGGTGGTCAGAGAAGTACAGCGGTCTCTCCCTCAGATGGGTGTTGTTAGGAGGAAGAAAGTGGGGTAAGCCAAGCCTGATGGTGCAGCTACTCCAGAGGCTACTCAGGGGTTGAGTTAGTAGGATTACATGTTCAAAACCACTGCAGCAATTTAGGGAGACCCAGCCTCAAAATAAAGTAGTGAAAAATGGGTAAGGGTATGTTAGTGGTAGACAGCCCTTGCCTAGTATGCACAAAGCCCTGGGTTCAATCCCTAGTACTATCAGAAGTAAGAATAAGAGCTGTAGTAGAGGAAAGGGCATTCTAGAGAGTGAGGTAAGAGAAACCAGCACCTGTGGACAAGCCCTAAGGATCCAGGTAAGACTGTGGAGCCAGCCTATACTAGTCATAAGCAGCTCCGAGAGTTGCTGTACCTCAAGGAGTCTGGAAAATGAGTGTCTCCAGAGGAATAACTAAATCCAAAAAGAAAGAAAAAATTACTGAAACACCTGGGTGCAAGCATTTGGGATTCTTTTCTGCATAAAATGACTGTTCTGCCTTCTCATTGGCTCTAAACCCAACCACATGACCTCCTCGTCACTGCCTGTCTATACAGACCTCTAGGTCTCTATGGTTGGTATTGAGATTAAAGGCGTGTGTCTCCAAGCTGGGCTATGTCCTTGAATACACAGACTCTGCCTGCCATGTGATCGGATTAAAGGCGTGTGCTATCATTGCCAGACTTCTGCTAAATGGCTTGCTCTTAGCTCTGACCCCCACACAACTTTATTTATTAACATACAAATAAAATCACATCTCAGCACAAATAAAATATCACCATACAGCTAGGCTTGTGATGGAGTTTTTGTACCATGGATTTTATAACATTTGCATATACTTTTTGAAAGAAGGGCAAATCAAGGTTTTTCCTACAATTGAAGCCTAGTTATGAAAGTTGAGAACTTCTGAGAGTGATGGATTGAAGCCCAAACTAATTTTTGACTATGTGAACTTTATTTAATGGCATAAAATTCATCAACTT